CTAAGTCTCAAGTCCTGTGTATCATTCACCACAAACCGTGTCACTGTCCGTCATGGCATTCGTAAATGTCACTTATGAAAGTCCACTTGATAACAACGATGTACATGTACTTGAAAGATCAACAGTACTGCACTTTGCTTGATTAACAATGCAGTCCAAGGCAAAGTTCGTATCACATAAAACAAAAATCGGTTACATTCACTGCATATAGAAACGACATCAACACCAGTCCCAGATCAGAGTCATTATGGCGTCAATAATTTCACGACCTGCTTTGGACATATTAGATGTTTTCAAGACCGCAAAATTAAGTTTGAAGTTCAGAATTTTCTTACTTAAAAAGGGGGAGCGTTTCACACTCCACATGAATGGTCCCGCATGATATACGGCCCAACAAAAGTACAAAATGCATGCGTGCCGTACAATGACGTGCGGCAAATCAGTGCAGTCAGCGTGGACAAGAAAACACTTTATCTGCACTGAGAAAAACAAACGATACCAAACTTATTTGCGGGTGTTTCAGTTGAAAAGATTCCATCAATCATGCTGCGTCCTAATCCAACGGCGTATTCTCTGTGCTTCAGCAAAACTGGGACAACACGCGGCGAATGAGGCGGGCCCAATGCTGGTAAGGCCCCTCCAGAGCGGAAAAGTATGTGTGTGCGTGAGGGGAAATCCTCCCAAACCAGGTGCTGGATTCTTAGAGGATTACCTGCTGCGCTCTTTCTGCTGCCGAGCACAATAAGGCAACGACAACTGACATCATATTGGCACAGATAGAAGTGTGCTCCGAGCGTGCTTTTCCCTGCACTGCAATTTGACCTTAATCAATATGTCTCTGTAGAGTCGACTCTACAAAGGCCAGATACTGTTTCAAAATTGCAAATTCTGAAGTCTTTTCTCTCTTAAATTCTTTCATCCCTTCATTCTTTTGTCATACAGTCCTGGTTATAAGTGCAACAAGGTAATGTGGCTGCAACCACCAGCCTTGTGCTGTTATTGATTCTGAAGTCACGTTCTGGAGGGAAATATCTGCAGCAAGACTGATAGAAATTGCATTAACTGTCCCCGTCTATAATACGCTTGCAAGTAATGCGTACTGCGCACACAGATTATATTCGAGGGATAAAAAAAATGGCATTGAGGAAAGTGAACCCCATCATAATTACCGACTTCAGTCAAAGAGACCGGGGTTAAACCTACAGTTACCGAATCTGACGTCTGCGTATGTTTTCATGCAAAACATCGGTCGATACTTACAGATGGTATTAAAATATAACCTTGTCTTTTTTCTTACTTTAATTAAAATAACAGATTATTTAAATTAACGATACTTCGGTGACTTGGCACCGACGACGAAAACCCTCTTCCATTAACCAAATCTTGCTTCTCTCACCAGCATCGTCTTCACTGACCAAGCGAGAACGATTACCTCAAAAGCTTGACTTGGTTAATTACCTATACGGCTTATCTCATCGACAATTTTCGTTCAGCATTTAGAGGCTGAAAACAAGGGGGGAACGATACCACTATCAGTGCTATTTTGTGTGATTGGATCCCTCCACAAAGAGCATTGCATATCAATTTTAATATTAATTAATTATTAAAGCTGCACACCTATACTTGTATGGATGATACGAGGGGCCTGTTGGTTTCATACAGATCGATATGGATCTGGATCAGTGGTCCCAAAGCTGCTCGTTCTGTCCATTAAGCGGGTTCTGATACAAGTGAACCAACGTCGGGTCACTGTCTAAATCGCGATCCAGGTCTGCGTGGAACAAACAGGCTCAAAGACGGCGTATTTGTCAAGTTGCTGGATATGTCAAAACTCGGCCAATAATGTTACATGTACTAATCTGAGATCAGAGCTGCACCACTGGATTTCGACTGACGTACAGATAAAACATGACTATCTGGAAAGGACCTGTCATCAAGTCTTTCCCAAGTATGAATCACACACTGCCTCGAATGGTCTCGCCTGTCTGATCATAGCCCTATGTACTGATGATGTATATGGCACAGCGTTTAACCCAAGTGTGTGAGAGATAGAATAGGGCTGATGGGTACAGTGTACACGTCTGTCGTATACCACGAGAAGGGGGAATGACAAACGCACGAGTTACAGCCGATCACAAAAAAGGACGGGTGTGATCAGACCGTTTCCGGTCGTGGAAGATAATTCCCCTGAAGAGGACAATGCATTGTCCTTTTCAATCTCACTGTTTTTGGCAACCCTCGAAATTGCATCTTTGTGTTTCAATTAAACCTTATTTTCAGTTTTGGCTTTGCTATATATGATCTGTATTTTGGAGCCTTTTGGGGTATTAATGCTAATGCATTTGCAAAGCATGAGCAAACCTGATCTCACTGGACCTCAATGCTGCATTGATTTGTAGGCCTTCACAGAAAGTGCTGGAATTGTTTGGAATTTTGTTGCAGTACAATGTATATGTTTCCATTTCCTTCGCAATTTACTGTTGTATAAGTACATGGCAATATAAGCCAGGGAGCGGTCAAAGAGCAAATTAGAGGTTCAAACATGAAAATATCTAGACAAATCACTTTCTTCCCTGAATTAAACCAAGCGACAGCGCCCTCACTTGTCAAGGAAAGCTTTGACAACTTGTAATGTTTCAAAGAGCATTTTTCCATTACACTGAACTCCTAGATAATTTTAAACAGTTTTAACGCATTGAAGAGTATAGAGATGCACAAAAAGGAGTCTGAGAAAAATTCGTTGCATAGATCTTTAAAACGATGGTTACAAAAATGCCCTTTGGAAATGGAGAATTCTTGTTGCAATGTAATAACCGAAGTTCAGATCGCTGGCTGCGGGTTTGAGATGACAACTCCATAGGAATTGGCGGTAACCAGTACCAGACTCTTGGATAATTTCAAGGCACTGCCAAGTACGTGTACTGTTAGGCCTGCGTCAAACGTCGTGCTTCTGCCGTGTCAAATTCGATTCATTGAAGCGCGGCAAACGCACGACGGAGTCAGCACTGGTGTCAAAAGGCGAAATGAATTATCAAATGATGATCAGATTTAATTGAAGATGACATGGTGAAGAGAGAGTGAGAGACTTATAACTGCATGAAAGGTGAAACCCCGTTGCTATCTTCGGTAGCAACAGACCCTGCGTGTGACGTCACAATGTAGCTCGTGCTCGTCATGTAGCTCAGTAGGATCGTACTCCCAAGTTTTTGCGTCAAACGTCGTGCTTCTGCCGCGATTAATTGAACATTTTCAAATTCGACACGGCAGAAGCACGACGTCTGACGTAGACTTAATTCAGACACGGCCAAGCAGTGTATAGCAATGAAGTACACAAACTGATGATGCCCATTCTATCCCATTATGCACTGCGGTACACACCTTACCTTTAAATGGGGCTATTTCTGCTTGTCATATTGATCTAATAGGATACTGTTATACTGCCTCGCACAAATACGCACATTTTCGGGCGGCAGACAAAAAAGGTTCTGCATTACAAATGGACGAAAACTTCAAATTGAATGAATCCTTGAGTATACAACACAGAAACAAAGACCAGTAATTAAACTGCTACCCCGAAAAGCTCAACATTATTTTACAAAAATACTGACGTATTAATAATCTTAGCAATGAAGACACATACACATGTAAAACGAAACAACGATGTTATATCCATAAGCAAATATTTACCAGACAAATGACCCAAGCCTGTGAAGAACCTCGAATATAATACATGTACACCTATTTGCCTTCTTCTTGTTACATTTTGGCACAGATTTTTCCCAACAGCATAGCGTTTCACGGTAATATTCTCTGTTGAAAATTTGGCAGAAAAACCAACAATGGAATTACAAAATCGGGTTACAGAAACACGGTCATTTACTGGCGTCATCACTTCGTGCTCCTGAAGACTGAACCGTGCCAAGTGCGTTTGAAATGATGCTGATTCTACGTGCGATTTACAACAGTAAGACTCTGCACTGAACTACCGTCTGCCCTGTGCATACAGGCTCCACTTTACAAAATACACTGGACAGCAAAAGAAACTTGCCACTTCTGTCAAAGGCCACACATAAAAATTCACTCCCTAGAAATAAACATTTTTTGTACACAGGTATGCTGCAATACCCCTTACTAAATACATGCCCAAAAGCCAGTTATTATCTTTATAACAAAGGAGAAATTGACATGCACAATAACTTGGTTACTGAATCAAATGTCACACAAAAAAGCACTCTCCACTAAGCAAAAATGACCCATGAATGGACAACATTTTAAACAACCAATGACAAAGTGAACACCTATTTTGTCAAAATGATGTGCATGAGTGGTTTCTGTATAGGGATGCCATCCTTACTGACTATGCATACACATTGAAAAGTAATGATTGTGACTTCTTTATTTCCTGTGACATCGATTTCTCGGTAAAACTGAAGACTCATTCTGTTACATTCTGTGACTTTTGATTCAGTAACCAAATTGCTGTGCATATCAATTTCTTCTTTGTTATAAAGATAATCACTTGTTTTGCAAACAAGTTCCTCCAACTCTGGCCTGCAAAACCAACGAATGCAAATTCCTGTATACAAGTATATAGAAGGGAATACACGAGTGCTAGACAATCAACGCTTCCCCCCCCCACACCACAATTTTAAAAAAGTCTTTTTACAACCTGCTTAAAAACTCGCTACCCTGATCACTGATGAATTCTGATAATGCAATTACGAGGACTTTAACTGCTCTCAACGAAACCCCAATAAAACAAGGCATGGACCCTAACGAGGTGCAATGCATCATGGTTTTGTTCCACAATTTGTCCATGTGTTGAGAAGTGGTTGAAATGATGGGATGCCCAAATTTGTCCTTTCAAGATCCATACGAAAACGCAAAGAACGCAGCTGGGTCATTCCATGAGGCTGGGGCACAATTTGTGAAGGTGTCATGGTTACGTGGGTAAATTTTACCACCTGCCATGACCTCTAGAATAGGTCATTTACTCTGTAAAAGTAACACACACCTCTGTATTCAGCCTTGCAAGATGTATAATTTCGAAACCACCTACGGGGAAATAGCTGTTTATTTTAACAGAACCTATGTAACAATGGACACCGTCACAAATTGTGCCCAAACCTCATGGAATGACCCAGCTGTCAGAAGCAATTTCCTTTTTTCCTCTTTTGTACAAGTAAAATGTACACAGCTGTATCTTTTCGGGGAAACAAATCAAATGCCATCACCTTTTAAAAAAACAAATGAGGTACCCATTACTGCTAAAGTTGTCATTTACAAGTAGATGCAAAAAAAATGTAGCTTTCAAAAGATATTCTCAATCTCTACAAATAATTGAAAAATAGCATATCTGGTTAAAAACTGAAGACAACAGGCCCACCCCCAAAAAGGAAGATGCAATTTGTGGACAACGGGAGAGTCAGTAGAGGGTTGAAAACACAGATGTTGAGAACAGTGCCCCCAAGAGGCCATTTTCCACATCATGAAACAGAAAATTTCACGAGAGCAGTATTCATACTTCAAACTGTTACATATTTTGTCACTGATCAGCATGCTGACTGGGAACTGAGGGCTGATAGGCTGCCGACAGGCCTCAACTTTCGGAAGCCCAGTTGCATTTCTGTACTGAATAAAGTCTTAACAGGAGACTGTAACACCTGTATGTGTGCTCACTCTAGTTTTAGTTACACTAGGGATACAAAAAATAATATCTATAATTTTAACCCAAGAATAATTAGGGTATGGCTCAACAATGCAGGGATGAGATTGACCAATGATAAAAATAGCTGAAAACAGCTGAAAAAGACATAAAGAAGTTGAACTGTAAACATCTCCTATACTTTTGTACACAGCCAGAGAGGAAAAAAAGCTGAAGTCCCAAACAAAAAGCTGAAATCAGCTAAAAAGCCGAGAAATCTCACCCCTGATGTTTAAAAACCTGGCAAACTATAAACGCACTCGGCTGCACAGAACGGGGTGCCAGCCACCTGCTGAGGTCCAAAGGAGCTCCAGCCACAGAGTCCTCATTTGTATGAGGCATGGCGATATACAGACATACAGGCATGTAGGTTATCCAGTCAGTATATATGTGGTATAACCAAGTCAAGCGATTCTTGCACTGAGCATTACATGTACACTGTCCTGTGGAGCCAGTAGGGGCCCACAGTCCACTGACCACCCACAGGAAAGTACACACGCATTATACACAATGTGTGCAAAGTGAGTCGTCATCCTTACTGAAGTCTATTGGCTACCCAACCAAATAAGCCCACAATCATTCTGTCACAATCGAACATTTACAAAGCATTCTTCCTTTAAACCCCCTGTACCTTGGTCAAATGATATTACCTTACCTGTAAATCAGATCTGAAATACGTTTACTCAAGGTGAATTCATGCTATGTGGAATGTTCACCCTATATCACGGTGTAATTTCGATTCTAAAGCGTGTAAAGGGGAGATCTTTAGAAATAGCCCAGCGGGTTATGCAATTCTGTTTGCCTGAATCCGAATCTCAGCAAGTGCAATTAGCTGATAGTTTCTTTGGAGTAACCGATATCAATCGCTTTCCTATGGCAGTGAGGTGGGCCATGATCGTTCAAGTGCCCATAGAAGAGCACAAATGTAAAGAAAGCATGACGTCAAAATGTTTAAGATTTACACAGGAAAGACTTTCAGCACTCGAGCCACAACGAGGAAGAAATCAAATGATATGGTGTCTTCGGGAAATGTTCTCCCACATTTTTACATTCAATGAATCCCTTTTTCAACCTTTTAAACCTAAATTTTCAACATTCGTAATTTTTTCTTTTGAATTTCACTTTTTCACAATTTCACTTTTATCCAATGTGTTTTTTCACTCTTTCTTGTCCATGATTTCATATCTTAACTGAACCACATATTCAACACCTTGACCACTCATTCAATGAGGCAGTAGACCTGTTGAATAATGATGGTAAAAGTTAAAATGACAGGACAGAACCAAAATGTGACAAGTCAAAGAACAACGTTAGTTTGCTTTTGGTCTGACTATGAGGGAATTCAGTAATTTATCATGATTAAGGGCAACACAAGGAATGCATAAAGTCTGTTCTTAAATAATGTCTTTTGTAGCTTCAGCAAAGAATTACATCTCTGAATGCCTTTATATACATTAACATTTGATTTCATAAACGACAGAAAACCTGCCACAACAAAAGAAGAAAAAATAACTGGTCAGGGATTAAATCTCAATTGTCAGATAGGTGAAACAATGTGAAAGCCATTTGGGTTTCCCTAGTAATAAAAGAGAGGAATCCAGCCTTACGAATCTGCTTTGAAGAAAGGCCGTGTACTGCTGGTTACCACTCACAGTGTTCTTGCACTAGAAATTGTAAAAATCGTGTAGTTCAGCATCTGCGAAAAAAAAGGTGATTCAAACAAATCAGGTCTCTTTAATCAGGACCTGGTGCACAATATTTATACACTTTAGAAAACAAACACGATGGATCTACTATCAAAAAAAAGGTGAAATGATTTGGGCCCTGACAGACACTGAAGCACACATCACCTGGGTGGGGGGAGGGAGAAAGACTGGAGCTACACTCTCTGCTCGGTTAAACAGTGAACCAGAACTCCCACAAAAATTCTTCCCACTTCAAACCTCCTGGATTGTCTAGAGGCCATTACTTTGCACAGTACCCATGGCAATGTTCTTTGCCTTACTTCAGGCTGTATCTAGCCCCCAACTGTAAGACCAACAATGATGGGGCTACTTTGTAAAATTTTACAAAGCCCCTCGGAAAAACTATCCCCTAGTATTTGAAGGAGCTTGAAGAACTGACGTTCATGACTTGTGATTTCAATAGACTTTTCTTGTTTAACTATCACCGTTTTGCCCAACTTGGCTGGCAAACTATGGCTAGCCGTAAGTTACAAAACATGAGAATTTATATGGACCAAGTCTGAAAAATATCTTAATCTATCAAAGCGTGAAACACAAATACTTTTCACGACTACTATGAGGAAAAACTCCTTTTTTAAGACAAATGGTGCATTTCAAAGCAAAACCTGTCACTGGTAAACTTTCCTCAAACTTTGGACGACCACATAAAAATAGGCAACGAGAGAAAGCTCTACTGTCAGATCTTACGGCAAGACGGTACTCACCTCAGAGGGACTATTAGAGGAAAATAAGGCACAAGGGCGTGGCCGACGCGGCCGTTCATCATAACTTCGACTTGGCGGCGGCACCCATCTGGCCGTATGCCATGCAGAGGGCGTGGTCCCGCACGTCCCCCCAGCCCCCGTTGGGGCGGGGCAGCTTCCTGTACAGGGCACGGGTGGGCGGCGTCACAGCCAGGCTGCCAGGGAAGAGGTAGTCGGCGCTGGCTGCCACGGTGCTGTCCAGCTGCTTGACTAGCATGGCTGCGTCGCACCTGCCCTTATGGTGAATGCCGCTGCAAGGAAATGAACGCATACATGTACACTATATTAAAGACAATTATATGAATGAACCAGTTCAGTATTCCCACAGCACAAAAAGAAGTATGCCGTCAGTCGGGATCCAAGAGTAGATCCAGGACAAAATGGGGGCCTGAGCTGTATGAGACTAGGAAATGTGTGACCCACTCTGTGAAAATGAGTCTTAAGTTGCCAGAGCCACTTTTTGAGTTTTCATTTGTACTGGAAAGAGCAAATTGAGTTTTTTTGTTTTGATGTATCACTCAGTTTGACATCCTGATGAAAGTGGATACTCCATGGTAGAAAATGCTGTGGGTTCCTATTGATTTACACTGTGCAAAATTATTCTAAAACACTTTTTACTCCAAAGTAGCTCTGGCGACTTAAGACTCATTTTCGCAGAGTGCCTGTCACTTAAAGGGTACCTGGTTCCAGTGCTACCCGTAAATGCACCAATGCTTACCATTCACCAATGTGAAAGATCCGTGGTGCTTTGGGGACCATGACTGTCAGGCTAGGCTTCAGGCAGGTCAGGCTGACGTGTTGTAACGTCCAGTCCCAGTTGTAGTCGTCGTACTTGCAAAATTCCTGACAAAACACAACCAAACTGTAACGTATAAACTACATAATTTTCTGCACTCTTGGCCCTAGACTGAACCCTGTTTTAATTCCCCCGACCAGAACTGGTAAGCCGTGCGAATACGCAAGGCAGAGATTGAAGAGTGAGGAACGAAAGCCCAGTCTTGACAATTGGGAAAATCCTCCTGAGAAATTCCCAGCATATCTCTCGCTAGGAGCAGTTTAGTCAGGCACTCTGTATATATATGTACGTGTCTGCAGACTGCTAGATAATGGCACAAACTCATTACACTCCTTGAGACAAGACAGGAACGCAGTCTGTACATGTCACATGTACAGCATGTACATCTACACGTACACGTACATCCATAATTGGAATGGAAGATAACTTTTTTCAATTGAAAATTAATGTAAATTACATGTATCATTGTAAGTAACATAAGGACAAATCAGACAATTTTGTCTCTTTTATCAATCTGTTTACAAAATAAACACTGCTGTTCACGACGGGATTATTTTGACCGCGACTGCTGGGTTGTGGCATGCCATGAATGGAGGGCTTTGTCCAGCAGCAGGCCTCATTGAACCAGCAGCTGCATGGTCTATAGACTGTATGTGTGGTATGCACTAATCCCCACATAACGGGGCGGTAGTAGCAGTCCTCCATAGCGAAGGGGTTAAAAACGAAACCCGCTCCAAGGCTTCATTCCAGTTACACGTGTAGAACATGTTCTGGGGTACTCTAGTAACTGCAAAACGTTATCGCCACCAGCATCAAACAAAACAAAGTTATTCACTCTTATTGCTTGTTCTGCTAAAACCTGAACAGAAAAATCACCACTGTCAATGACATACTGCACGTGCACCTCATTTCAGTTCAGGCAATGGTTTCAAAATGTTGTCATTCCACAAATGCTCAAACAAATGATTAAATGTGGGCCCGCACAGCTGCAGACTCCAAAGTCAACAACAGCAATTTCAGGCAAGCTACCTATTGATTAAAAAATAGTGTGTAAACACCAAAAGCATGGGATCCATCAAATTTTGCATTAAATACATCTTCGCCATCTGTAGGTACTGCAACCACAAACCAACCTGGCTTGGTTTGTCTCTGTATGTAATTACTTTGTGTGAAAATGGGCTGTTATAATTCTCTGCTTAATACGTTGACTGCCACGCATGATTTCAAAGGGGCATTCCCATTTGCCAATTGTTGTACGCATGCGCACATATTTAACAAGTACCTTTCACCTGTCTATTTTAAGAGCATTTTTCAGCTGTTACATGTTATGTCCTCCACGCTGCCAGCAGCCTATTTGTTGTGCTCCTCGGTGATGTCGGCCCATTCAATTTACATTACAACAGCCTTTCATTTGGAATTTCAGGCTATTCATGGTGAAAGACAGCAACAGAGAAGCCTTGGAAATCCCTAAGCACGACACCTTTCCCCAAGACATCGGCTTTTCCGTTAGTGACATGTGGCCACCCCTGCTCACCTCCCAGTCAAACGGGTCCTCTATACCCTAACACACCCCGACCCCGCCTATGGGTCTCCTATGGGTCTCCCCGGCCACCTCACCCCGCCCCAACCTGTGCCCAACTGACATGCCTCACTGACTTGCTGGACCCCGTCCCGCATGGGTGCCCAGCAGAATCCACCACTGGCATCCTCGTCACACCCCACTGCATCCAGTCACCTCATATATACAGCTCGATCTTCAGCATCTCTTCAGTCTTTTGACGACGGACTGAGCACGCAGTCCCAAACATCGAGTATACTCCCGGTTCTTTTCAGAACCACACATACTCATAAGAGATATATTCCTTTGCACGGTGCTACCGCAAGCCTTTCCACCTATTGCAGCGTTTCATTTGCTATGAGTAGCCTCACAGTGGCGGAATCCAGTACACTTGTGACTACGAGTACACAGTGAATATTCGTAGTTGGCAGTCAACGTGTACGGGACCTGTGCTTGTTGAAATTCTCCTTACAGTTTTGGAGAGGTGGCCACTGTACTCAATCACCATTCTTATAGAGCACTTTGTGCATTCAATGCTAATGGTTTACAATCCCAATCATCCTTTGAAACTTGCAATTTATGTATAAAATGGGAAAAGGACTGCATGTTCATGTAGGTAAATGAACAGATCTGTGGTTCAGCCAAAACAAACATAAAAAACTACAATGAAAAACTGAGCAAGAAGCACTTCAATTTGGGCTCTAGCAGAGTAAAAAGCAGCGTTCCATACAGTGTGGAAGAAATGAGAGCCTTGTCCTCTAAACGTGCCCAGTCGTTCTCGAGGACCAGCAGCACAGTGGCAATGACACTGAATGTGTGCCTGCTGGTTTTTTGGTACAATTTGTCACCAGTTAGGTGAGCACTAGCACATTTAAGTCCATAACGCTGAGATTCCTTGGCATAGGAATTGTGCAGTATCTCCCGAGCCTCAGTCAACTTTCTGCGACAAAAAATGGAACTACACGTTATCACTCAAGATATTGAAGTTCAGCAAGAACGAACCCTTTTGTGTTTTGGCAAGCTCACCTTCACGCAAGGTTGGAGTCTCTCCCACGTACTCCTGTCCAGGGCCATGCCCATATTGTGCCTGGAAGAGTACCACTGAAGCACGTCTACCTACAGGGTTGGGAGCCAACAAAAAAAAACTCCAACAGTTAACAACGTGGGATACAAAACATGAAACATTACTTAGTGTACATGTACACGTCTGGATTTGTTGTTGGCTGCCTGGCACAAACAGTATTAAGCAAGCTGTGCGTTGCGCCAAGGAAACCTGCCTGGGTGCCCTTAAGCCAGGCACATGACGATGAAGGCAGTACATGAAACTTGAGAACAATCTTGTTGGCAATTTGTGATAAATTATAGTCAGATTGCTGCTCCAAGACATGTCTCACTGGTACCAAACTTAACCACTTGCCACCGGGGATTCCGGTTTGGGACATGTTTTCTTCATACGCGTGGCCAGGGTCTCAGAATTCAGACAAAGGGAACTGGGCCTTGTAACAAAAGACCATACTCACAACAAAAGACCAGGCTGCTGGGAATTACCAACATTTTTTCACTCTCAATAGTGGAGATAATCCAGCCTTGTTTTGAAACAGTATACCACTGTTTGGGGCATTGATCACGAGTGGATTACCACCAGGGACAAAAGCGCCCCACCACCGCAGTGACGAGCCACACAGTACCGCTGCACGCTAATCTAGCCACTATTGAAAAGACGTGAGCAGCGCACTGTGCCAGTTTCATGAACAAAAGAAAATTACATAACACCACACAATTTTGGGCTCTTTTTACAAGGCGGCATGCCTGGCTGAAATACTCCAGCGTCAATAGATGTTGTTTGTCAGATTAGAGTGGAAACCAGACAGTCCTTCATGTGGGTGTAAGTGTCCAGTAAATGAAGATATGAATGTTTGAAGAATTTTGAAAACAGAAAAAAATTATCCCGTCCCAGCATCATTAACATTCATAAATGCCCCCGGCGCAATGTGGTAGTGTGTCAATTGCATGTAGCTATAAAGATTCAGCACTTCTGATCTGAATCTGATTTGAATCTAGTCAATCCCATGTAGGATCAAAATAAAGCTTATCTAGTTAAATTTGGATCGGACTCAGGCTGATCCTGTAAGACACCGGAAGGGATGGAATTGATCATCTCTAGCAAAATCCGATTTTGTTTTCGCTTTGATTAAAATGCATGAACTTGCTGTTCCTCGCTAGTACATTGTTATTAAATGCAGCAGGGATAATGTTAGGGTTGAGAATTTTTCTTTTCACCACACAAAGCAGCTTAGACCTTACCCAATTTGACATCAACCCTTGTATTCTATGACCCTGCAGGAAGGTCTTTTGGTGACGCATTGCCACAGTCAAGCATTTTTATTCATACTCCCGACCTCAGGGGGATGTCCTACTATTAATCATTTCGCGCCTGGCCCATGTATATCCATGTTGATTCTGCTGGGCCAGGTGACTTTTCATTTTGTTCTGTTTTAGAAATTCTTTAACCCTAACAGTCCCAAATCTTCAAATTTCAATACAATTTTACATACACCCTTGGGGGTTAGGGTTAAAATTCATAACTTCATTTACTGGATGGTTACACCCACACGAACGACTCTCTGGTGGCTACTCTAATCTGACAGACAACATTTACTGGTGCTTGAGTATTTCAGCCAGGCCTGCCTCTTTGTAAAAAGAGCCCAGATTGTGCGGTGTTATGTAATTTTCTTTTGTTCCCGAAACTGGCACAGTGCACTGCTGATGTCTTTTCAATAGGGGCCAAATTAGCGTGCAGCGGTATTGTATTGCTCATCACTGGAGCGCGCTGGAGTGCTTTTGTCCCCAGTGGTAATCCACTCACGCTAAATGCCACATATAGTGGTATAATCTTTTAAAACAATAACGGATTTCCTCCGCCATTGACACCTGAAAAGACGTTGCCAATTCCCAGCAGCTCAGTCCTTTGTTCCGAGTACGGTCTTTTGTTACAAGGCCCAGCTCTTTTGTCCGGCTTTGGGCTACCCAGCTTCGTATATAAAGCCTATGTTCCCGAAACCAGGTACCCAGGCACAAATTTTTAAATTTTGGATTTAGTCAGTTCGGATCAGACTCAGCACCTGCTGACAGTTTTGGACCGGATTTGGACTGAGCTACAAAGGCCATCAGATTCGATCAGGGTGAGCCGAAGGTTGCCAGATTCAGACTTTCACCTGGAGTTGTCGGATCGGATTCCCTAATCCAAATCTGACACATATTTTTAAAAAACATAACAACAAAGTTTTACCACATTTCCCCTCTCCTTGTATCGTCTGCTCTTCTCATATGTCCCTAATGTGAAAATATCACACTCAGGACATTTGCTGCAATAAAAGAAAAAAGACGGTAAACTCAAAGGGATAAATTTAACAAATAACTTTTTGCATTTGTTCACAGACACCTCCAAACAGACATCGAGATGGACAATCAGATTAAATCGTACAATGCAGGTACCAGCAGGCCAGTTGAACAGTAGAACACCAACCACTCACCTGCCCTTCAGTTCATACATCTTTTGCAGCAAGTAGTAGGCATCGGGAGTCATGTAGTGGTCCTCTTCAATGAGCAAGACTAGACCTTTGTGGCTCTTGGTGACGCCTAGACCCCCAAACACATGCTGGAGCTGTGAAGACATGTTAGTGAACATGGGAAAGAAAGACAGAACATCATCAGAAATATGAGCTTTTATGCAGGAAACTAGAACTTAATATAAAAAAATTAAAAATGGAAAATAAAAAGACTTTAAATGACACGAAGAAATCCAAATATAGAATCCAATCCCCAAGTATCAGAGATTATTTGGGCCTGAAACGAAAGCCAAAAAAAGCCTCATAACTATAAAAGGAGAGTTTGGTCCTCTGGTTATTAAAATGATGGACATTAACCCTAACCCACTAGGACCTTTTTACTAGGGCACATCCTCAATCCTCCAATATCCTCCAATTGCCCAACTTCAAAACCTGCATTCATCCTCAATCCTCCAAAATCCTCCAGTTTTGGGGCTTATGAACAAGATGAAATGTACCCGAATCCTCAATCCTCCAAAATCCTACATAGCCCTACTCTGTTTTTTTGGGGGGGAGGGTTGGGCACATCAGGTGTGTTGCTGAGCTGAAGGTGTTTCTTTGCAGAGTTGGCTAACGGCTTTACTTTTGTCACAAACACAGTGGACACATGCCTTTGTTTAACCCCTTCACGCCAGGATGCAGCTAGGGCCGCCGTAAAAATTGAGATCCTCGGCCATCTTTTCAGCTATTATTCTCGGCCCACGCTCGAGCGAACACGGTAAAAGAAGGCATACCCTGGCTCTTGTACATGTATATATGTTGATCGGCCTTTGTGTGTTGCCAAGAAATGAANTTTGAAAAGAGGCAAGGGAAAAGTGGAAGTGTGAGTAGAGCCGCATGCCACCGAACAATCAGCCATTTCACTGTGTAATTCAAAGCATGCAGAGCACGCAGGGCCACAAACTGAAAATTTGCGGTTTGGCACGTGGCCTTCGTGGCCAAACGAGGCCGGAATTCTTGGAGTCGGCTTTCAGAAAGAAATTCCCATTGTCAAGGGGTTAATAACAGACTGCAGTTGAGGATTGTGTCATTTATGACCAGCAGCAGTGAACAATGGAACCTGGAGGATTTTGGAGGATTGAGGTGGGTTTAAGGTCCATGTAGGAGGGGGGTGGGGGAGACGCTCATGCTAGTTCCCTGGCTCTCACCTTCCAGAACCAATGATGCTTGGTCATGACAAATCGCACCTCTCGGTAATGACCGTACTTGTCTGGGTGCTCCCAGTTGTTACATTTCCTCTCTTTGGCTCTGGCCAGAAGAAAAATAAAATGGAGGAAAACCAATTCAATCAGACTTTAAAGTGAAACAGATATTCCTGATGTCGGACATCTGATGGTACTGGTACATTAGAAGTAAACAGGGCTGCGTCGATTCAAATAATATACGATTCCAATATTCGACCTTCAATTTGATCGAATATCTGAATATCAAGTCGTGCCGACCGGCAGATTGTTGATGAACAAACCATAGACATGTACAAAAATGAAAATCAGTTGTAATAACGGCCACAATTGTATATTATAATCACTATAATAGCTTCTCGAGTATCTCCAGCCAAGATTGTGCAAGATTTAAGAAGGATCAATACTTCTTGTCCAGTTGCAAGTGTATATTCCTTGTAAAATTTTGAATGAATAATGTACTTTTTAAGTCGTTGTAAGGTGTCTGTCGCTTTTCATTTGAATCTGCTCGGAACAAGCCTCCATAGTGCCATTTTTCTCATTTCAAACAAAAGAAAAATTTCCCTTCCTTTTCATGAATTTGCATTCAAATATTCAAATTCAAAAAAAAAAATTAAATATTCAATAACCAATTGAATAATTGGATTTATTCGGATATTCGGCACAGACTTACATGTACGTGTGTACATGTACATGCAAATGTGGAAACACCTGGTCTTTTGGCTCGTCCAGCAGGATTACTGTACCGGTACATGTGCTGGTTGTGTACATGTACATTGTATACATGTACATGTTTCACATTGTTGTACAATATACATGTACATGTACCGGTACATGTATGAGTATCCGTATGTACAGTAGGAAATCACTTCATCGGGGGGGGGGCCTACTCCTCGGGGATTAACATTATACATGTACATGATATAAGCACATGTCCAGGTACATGTACATAAGTATGAACTTCACATGTACATCAACTCACATACACATGTAAGCTGATGGGGAGGAGGATTACTGTCCAAGGAATAAGAGGCAACGGATTGTTCACCATCAGCAATACCCCAAAGTAACAGGGCTATGCATGTACTGTACCTGTGTACCGTATTTTACAGAACTGAGTGATTTTTGTTTTCATGAGGTAACATCCAAGTACATGTACACTGTGCGTGCACTCACATACACTTACATGTACCTTACATACCTAGAGTGGACACTCCTTTCTTTTTGTTCAGTTAAGAAAACTCAGTGAAAATATTTGTTTTTCTTGAACTCAGAGCACCATTTTCAGCTGGCTTTTTGTACAAGGTTTCCTCGACTATTCCTGTTCCTTTAACGACGGATGACTACAACCCCAAAACGCCACTAAACTTCTTTTTCAGAGAAGGCGAAACATCCTGTGGACATGTGTAAGTCCACAGAATGTCTTCCTTTCCTACATCGTGTAGACATCTTTTGTTCACAAGTCCACACTACATGTACATGTAGGTACATGTACATGTACATGTATGTGAGGTTAGCGCACTCGGTACATGTATGCACATTGTCACCCATCTTTATTTCAATAGTTTAAAGGCTTTCACTGTTTCTGAAATTCCATGAGAAATGGGTTAATTAACTGTTTAATAATGTTTCTATCAAACGTTTTCGAAAACAGTTTTATCCAAATTTTTTTTTTCTGTAACAGTGTGATTTCTGTAACTTTGTGAAAACAGAAACCGTTCACACCAATGTCTGGCAAGCATGCACACACTTTGTGAAACCAAAATTTCTCATGGAGCAGTTTTCCTAAAGTCATAATGGACTGGACTTGGATTTATTTTGTGGTGTCAGTGATGACAGGAGCATACTCCCTGAAGTGGTCTGATGAGGACCTACATGTACCTGTGCAAGGTCAGGCACCTGTGACATTTCACTGGCTAAGTCATAAGGATCTTCCCTTCCCTGTCGGGTAATCAACACTGTCATGACTGTACATGTACTTGTACTGTATACACGTACACGTATGTACATGTAGGTAGTATCCTGGTAAGGTACATTTGCACTGTACTGGTACAGTACATGTACAGTACACATACTCCACAGGAGTACACACTAGTACATGTACATCAAACTGCTCTGACTCACTCCACAATGGAAGCCGTTGATTGGACTCTGTATATCAGTACCATACATGTCCACATGCATTGTACATAACACACGAATGCCTACATGTATATGTACATGTAGGCCTACCTGGACATGTTATACATTATCATTGAACATGTACATGTACATGTACTCATTGATCTCCCTAATTCGTTGTTCTCCCTCCTTCATTCCAATGAAATATTCAAGATA